CCAGCGCTGCAGATGCAGCTGAGGCCTGAGCAGAGCCGCTCTGCGGTCCTTGGAAGCCTCTCCCTCCTCTTCCATTTAGCAGGTGGGAAGGGGTGACAGAGTCAAATGGAGATGGGACCTTCTTCACCCAGTGTCCTGCTGTAAGAGCGTGGCAGAGGTGGCAGCCTCCAGGTCTCCTGACACCAGCCTGTGCTTGGTGACACCACCCCGCCTGCCTCCGTCTGTGACCTCCAGGCCAGACGGTGCTAAGAAGCAGGAAGAGGCAGGGGACCCATCCATCGCTGGCAATTACACGGTGTTTTGTCATTCTTTATTAGTTCAGCAGCTGTCCTGCCAGATCTCACTGTGGATGCCCGGGCTGGGAGGGCACAGCTACAAGGCCACCAAGAAAGGCGGACTGGATGAGTGGGCCCAAGGGATCCCTTGGGGGTACCCAACTCCCTTAGTCACTGCCTTCCTTTAACTATTGAGGGCCCCCCACTTGTGAGACAGAACTGAAGTCCTTGGATGTGCCAAGAGCTCCCCTGGGCCAGGTGCCCCCAGGGCCCTACCTAATAAGTGGCAATTTCCAGGCCCTAAGCCTGTGGGCACACTCAGTGCTGGAGGAGCCAGGCAATTTCACCATGATCGAACATTAATGGTGACCACAGTGCCTGCTTAGCGAGCACCTGCTACATGCCAGGTGTGGGACCAAGCATCTCCCACATTTTATTCCACAGAAGCCTTACACAGCTGTTTGAGATGAGCATGGTACGGATGAGAAAACTAAGGTTCAAGTTATCTAAGGTTACATATATATACAAGTGGTGGATTCAGTTGAAGAACCCAGGTACGTAGAACTCTGAGATCAAACAGTTGTTTGTATGTTCAGGAGAGAAGCATGGTGTGTGGGTAGCTGTGACTGTGGGTCCCGAGGAGGAGACAGACTAGATGTTTTGGGCAAAGGTGGGGTGGCTGGGAAAGAGGAGGAAGTTTCTGGAAGAGGAAGTTTCTGGAAGAAGAAGTTTCTGGAAGAGGAAGACGTATGGGAAAGGTGTGAGGAGGGAGGGCTCCGAGGCAGCTGGTTGGGCTCTCTGGTGAGTCAGCAGGGAAGAGCCTGCAGCCAGAAAAGGTTACAGCTGAGTGTAGAGGGAGTCCCTGGGCTCCTGACTCACTCAGCCCGGGCTCCCTACAGCATGGCTGTCTCTGACTGGCAGGAGGAAGGGTGGGGTGACCCAACCCTGTCAGCCAAGGGTGCCGAAGGCTAAGGGGAGGCTGAGCCTTCCCACCTTAGACCGGGCCAGGCTTGTTCTAGTCACCTTTCCCTCCGGATCAGCTGCGGATTATGACAGGAAGTCACTGATGTCATTGTATCTTCATTGATCATCCAGTTAGAAAAGTGAATTTAGTTTTATTAACCATTTACCAGTCCAATTATTTAATAATAGGATGACCAAAAATCGCATATTTTTTCATTAATTTGTATAAGATAATAGGAAATATAAGAATGACAATTTTGTCGAAGTTATTAAATATAAGAATCACCCAGAAATGACACCTGCCTGGGCGATCTTGGGGTCCTCAGTGTGTAAACAAACTTGTCTAAGTGACGTGTGGGGTTAACTGTTAAGTGATTAAAACAGGCAACATATAGAGCACGTACTATACACTAGGCATAATTTTAGATGTGTCACAGGAATGAACTTTTCAGTCCTTAAGATAGTATAATTCTGATTGTCTTTGTCTCTTCTGGCTGCTGTAACAAAATATTGGAGTGGGTGGTTTATAAATAACAGAAATTTGTTTCTCCTAGCTCTGGAGGCTAGAAGGCCAAGGAGCTGACAGATCCCACGGGGTGGGGGCTGCTGCTGTGGGTCACAGATGCCGTCTTCTGCTTGGAGCCTCGCCGAGCAAAAAGCACAGGGGATCTCTCTGTCTCTGTCTCTGTCTCTGTCTGTGTCTCTGTCTCTATCTCTATCTCTCTCTGTCTCTCTGGGGTTTCTTTTTTCCTCACTGATTCATGAGGGCTCTGCTTTCATGACAACCAGCTCCCAAAAGCTCCTGTGTTAATACCATCCCCTTAGAGTTAGGATTTCAGGATACGAATTCTGAGGAGAAATAAACCTTCAGTCCATTGCATCAGTTTTACATTATTTATTTATTTATTGTCTTTTTCCAGGGATCTAACTCACGACTGCACACTTGCAAGGCAGGCGCTTATGCCGCTGAGCTAAAACCCCACCACAGTTTTACTTTTTTTTTGTCTTTTTCCTTTTTATCGGTACCAGGGATTGAACTCACAACTGCCTGCTTGCAAGGCAGGCGCTTATGCCGCTGAGCTAAATCCCCAGCCCAGTTTTACATTTTTATGGAGTCTTGCTGCGAAGTTCAGGCTGGAGTTGGGCCACCCAAAGGAGTGATCCTGAGGTGATTTTCCTGCCTCAGCCTCCTGAGGGCTGCGATTATTGGCATGCACCACCATACCTGGCCAGCTTTATACTTTTCAAGAGATTGAGGATGGCAGGATGTAAACGAAGTGAAGGCCATGCACTAGAGATGGAAGGGAGCTGAGCTCTGCTCCCTCTTACCAAGGACTCCCGCTTTAGGGACAGAAGAACAGGTGGAGTCTGACTTCATAAAGCAGGGACAGACTGCACTAACAGAGCCCAGGCTTCTGCCACAAGCCAAGCTTCTGTCTTGATCCCACTGCAAGCCACAGTGGCAGCTGGAGAGAGACTAAGAACCCGTCTTGCTCCCTGGCACCCACTCTCTCACTGGGGCCCCTGGAGCGCACAGCAGAGAAACAGAGGCTGGGCATGTAGCTCAGTGTAGAGGGCGTGTCTAGCATGCGTGGTCATTGTAGACATGTTCGCAAAGTGAGATAAGATTTTTTAAAAACAGAAAAGTCCCCACCCTGAAGATGGTGCTGTTAAGAACCTCAGGGGGGAGGCCAGGAGGCCTGGCTCCTGCTTCTGGTGGCTGTGTGACCTTGCGCAATCCCGGCTCCTCTCTGGGCCTCAGGTTCCTCGCCTGTGAAATGAAGATTTGGACACAGAAGCAGCCCCTCACACCTCTGACTTCTGTTTCTGTTTCTGGTAGTGGCAGAAGGGGCACTAGTAGGCTGCCCTCTGCAGGGGACACACAGATGACAGCTCCCAGCAGGTCACCTCCGGGAGGACACAAGGCTGGATAACAGTTTTCACGGCACATACAGCCTTCCCAGGCTGCCTGCTCACCAGGCCCATATGGTGGCTCCTGCTAGCCAGACACTGCCAGCTGCTCTGGGCCAGCCCCGCTGACCATGTGTCCTCTAGGCTCCAGAAAGGTCTCTATGGTTCTAGGACTCAGCTGCCCTGAGGTGGAGAGCTGGGGGCACTCAGCCCTGTGACCTCCCAGAAGTGACAGAGAGAAAGGCAAGGGATATTGACTGCATTCTGACCCCATTTGGGCCTCTTGCTAGGCATCTGGGATTCAGAAATGAATCAGAAAACCTATCTGCCCTTGAAGGACACAATGTCTAAGGAAGGACAGAAGAGCAACATTCAGGATGCTGAATGCTCAGGACTGTGGGAGCCCCAGGGAGAGCCCTATGCCATGCATGGTGGTAATCCAGGGAGACATCCTGGAGGAGGCGTCTTTAAAGGTAGATTTTCATGGACAGGATTCAGCCCTTCTAATGCCTGTTATTTAATTCCTATGGGGCTGGGGATGTTGTTCAATGGCAGAGAGTAGCATAGCAGCCTCGAGGCCCTAATTCAATCCCCACTGCCACTAAAAAGTAAAAATAAAAACATAATCTTTGTGGATAGCTCTGAGGAGGAAGTATTGTTACAGACAAGGCTCAAAAGAGTGAGTTTACAACCATCCAAAGGCCAGCTGGGTTCTGACCCCAGCCACTGTCCTCTGTGGGCCTCAGTGAGTGCTCCTTGTGGTGCCCAGGGCTCCTGTCTATAAAGTAGGTCTATTGCTGGCTGCATGGCCACCTAAGGAGTGGTGCTGGGCGTAGGGGAGGACAGAATGGCCGCAAATTCTTGGTTTAGAAACTGGAAAGTCAGCAAAGCCTCCCTGTCTTGCTGCAGCTAGCTCAGCCCTGCCTCCCTCTGGCACAGTAATTACAGAGGGAGTCGCACCCCCAGGCCAGCCTGTGGCTGGAACGTGCAGTGTGTGTTTTCCTCGGTCCAGAAGCCTAGAGTAAGGATTCTAAAACCCTGGAGTTAGAACATCTGGGCTGGAGGAAGTCTAGAGTCCAGGCTGCTCTGGAAGTGCCTCCCAGGTAGCAGGGCAGGGTCTGGGTTATGTCTGCAGCAGATGGCCCTGGAAGGCTGGCAGGATCTCTAGAGATGGAGATCAACTTTCCCTTTCCAGAGAAGAGTAAAACCTGGAGAGGGGAAGGACCTGTCTGGGATCACAGGAGTCTGTCAGAGGCTAAGGCCTCTTCCCCACACCTTACAGCCTTAGGACACAAGCCACACCATTTCCAAGACCACCCGGCCTGGCAGTGGCAGGAGGCAGGCCAGGGAGTGCCCCGGAGCATCCAGTAAGCTGCTAAAGTCACACATTTGCACTATTGCCTCTTGCCAACAAAGTTCTACAGTCTCTGCTCTCTCCTTCCAACCACCCATTGCTCTGGGTAGCCCGTTCTCTAATTCCTAAACTAGAACCCTTGCTATTTGGGTCCTCAGTCACCCCATCTGTAAAATGGTCTCCAGGTACCTATCAGCTGAGTTGTCCACAATCCTAGGCCCTGACTTGCTGGGGCAGGGACAGCGACAGGTTTCAGACCCCAGCCCACCATGGGGCTGACACGTGGAGGAAAAGGTGTCGTTTAAAACTTCCGGATCAAGGTCTCAGCGAAGTCTCTGCCCAGGCAGCTTGTGTAAACCAGCACATGTGAGTCCATACCAAGGCCAGGGCAGGGCGGGGCGAGGTCGGGCACTTGTGGGCGTGTCCGTGGGCGTGTCATCGGGCGTTCCCTATTTGCATGTCCCCGCCCCCGGACGTAGCCCCGGAGCTCGCGCCAGGAGCGGAGGGGCGGGGAGGAGCGCGCAGTCAGCGCGCCGCTGGCGGGGCGGAAAGTTTTCCTGACGGAGTTTTGGCGGCTGCTGAGCGGGCCATGGACGCGCTCAAGTCCGCTGGGCGGGCGCTGATCCGGAGTCCCAGCTTGGCTAAGCAGAGCTGGGGGGGCGGCGGCCGGCACCGCAGTGAGTGTGTGCGCGTCTGCCGGGCCGGGCTGGGCCGGGCCGGGCCGAGCCGAGCGGAGCCGGGCGGGGGTCGGGCCGAGGCGCGCGGGCCTCCTGCGGCTCTGGAGTCTGGACAAGTTGGTGGGGAGGCGGGGCCTGACCCACGCTCGGGTCCCTGCCCTGCGGGGTTGAAGTCACCTGGGGTCAGGTCGTGCTCCGGCCCCGCCATCTGGGAGGGCAGAGCGCAGGAGGAGACCGAGCTCGTGATCCCCAGGTGCGGGCGGCACGCTGGGGAATGCTGGTGGGGCGGAGAGAGCTTGGCGCCCCTCGGCACCTCCCTACCCCGCCGTCCAGGTTAGCTAGGGGAGGCCCGAGCTCGCCCGGGGACCTAAGGGACTTGGGACACCCCACTGGCGACAACAGCGGGAGCCTGCTACTCCCTGCGCCCTCAAAAGACCTGGAGGGGGGTGGCTCGTCTGACTCCGGGGCCTCAGGTGTGAGCCCAGGAACGCAAGTACCTACTTGTTGGGAGCGGAGCCCGGCCTGGGCTGTCTCAGAGGTCGCACAGCAGGAGATCCAGCCCCTGCGTCCTCTCCCCTAGCCGCGTCCAGGTGGCAAGACTGGTGTTCAGGTTATTTTTGAAACTTGTTTTCTTTTGTGTCTTCCCCCTGGGCTTTTGAAGTCCCTAGGTGCGTAGGCAAACGGCAGACTCGCAGCTACCTCTCCCGGGGCCGAGGCCGTCTGGGGCCGTCTGGAAGCCCGGGAGCAGGCTCACCCGGCCCCGCTCCTGTTTGCCCTGTCTCAGGTTACTCTCAGGAGCCCATCACCTGGCACCTTCCCCGAGGCCTGAGAAACCTAGCCCCGGAAGGCCTGCGGTCTTCCTGGCTCATACGAAGCTGAAGCACAGGATTGCTGAAAACCCTTACCCTTACCTGCCACCCACCTGAGCAGCAACCTCTGCTCTCCACCTCATCAAACAGTACAGTCACCCCACCCCTATTCTCCCGTCTTCCGGGGCTCCACCAGGGAAGCCCAAGTTCTTGGTCACAGGAGCGCCGGCGTGTCTGGGCTGAGGGAACCCGCCCTGCCCCTCCTTTTGCCCCAGTCTGCTGTTCAGTCGTGGCTTCCTCCTAGCGCAGACTAGCACTGGGAATCTAGCTGGTGTCTGTTGGTTGAGGTGGGAACAGGGGCCCGTTAGAGCCAGGCCAAGCATGCACCGTTTCCCACACTCACCAACTCCGAAAATAGTCCCTTTAAAAAATGCATGGGATGTGACCAGGACTTGAGAGAATGACTGGCTCCCAATGGAGGAACCTTGCTATGGAGAGAGGTTGGATGGGGCACTTCCCCCTCAGGGAAGTGGTTGTGAAGAGGAGGGAGTCCAGAAAACCTCTGAATGTATGCAGGGGTAAGAGAGAGCCACTGTTTTTTTTGTTTTGCTACGAGAAATCGAACTCATGACCTCGTGCTTGCCAGGCAGGCAGTGTGCCACTGAGCCATATCCCCTGCCAAGAGAGCCACTTTGGATGTTGAGGAAGTTTCTCTTGCCTGCACCAGTGTAGGGCAAATCACTTGTTCTTTGTAATTCTCAGTTTCCTCACCTGTGAAGTGGGAATTACAATTCTTACATGGCAGGGTGCCTTGATAGTAATGCACCCTCACTGGTAGTTTCCCTAACCCCTTCCTCCTGCCTGTGTGGACCTTCAACTTGATTCACTGTGTTGGATCAGATTTCAGGGGCTGAGCCCTGGAGAAAAGCAGAGGAGTACCTCTGTCCCTCTCCCAGCTTCCAGAAGTCCAGAACCTTCTATACCTTGAATGAGCTATTTTGTTTTGTAGTTCTGACGCACAATACTCCATCTGTAAGTTGCACAGAAGTTTAGTAACTGCCACAGACTTTTGGAGGTTAAATCAGTGCCTTTTGCCTGGCAGAGGGAAAGACTCAATAAATAGTAGCTACTTTATTGTTTTTTATTTTTGTTTTGTTTTATAATGAGACAGGATCATGACCTTGAACTTGTGACAATTCTCTTAGCGCTGGGACTGCAGGCATGTGTCACTATGCCCTGGCTACTGCTTTTATCACTGTGTTTTATAGTCTTTTTTTTTTTTCTATTTTCCCTTTGCTCATGTGAAGTGACAAAATGAGATTCTTATCACAGATCCATTTCAGAGATAAAGGACCTGAGTTGGGGAAATAGGGTCATAGGCCCCATGCCCAAGAGTTTCCAAGAAGCAGAGGTCACAATTCCTGGCCCTGGGGATTCTGACCAAGAAAAGAGCTGGGAGCAGTTGGGCTAGTAGCATGTAAAGACAACCAAGGCCACATGCTACAGGGGAAGTCATGAGATGTGTGTGGGGTTGGGGGCTGGGACAGACAAGCACTGGGCCTAGCCCTATAGATGTGAGGCATGTGGTTGAGTTTCCAGGCAAAACTGACACAGTGGAATTAAGATTAGGGTTGACCGGTGCTTGCAGTGACCTGCTCCTCACCTCTCAAGTAGGATTAGCATGGTCATTATTTTATTTATGGAGAAGCTGAAGCCAGAGGAGGACTGCAGCTTGACTGAGGTCACACAGCAAAGCCAGCACCCCAAGCCTCCTGTCTCTCAGCTGTTCTGACCTTGAAAGATAGTTCTCTTCAGCCACATACATCCTCCCCCCCCCCCAAGAACCATAAATACTTTATCTCAGTCCCTGGAGAAAGGGTTTTCCTTTCTTCCACCTGTCTGGAAGGGTGGTGGGCCCTGGCCCTTAAGTATCCTTCTTTTCACAGACAATGGGATCAGTCTGACCCCTGGGCTCCTTTGTGGTTGTGTCAGTGTGTTAGAACCCAAAGAAAAGGAGCCAGTTCCAGTAAAACTAGTTCATGGTGGTAAGTGGGGGAGGGATCTGTTTACTTACAGTGCAACACTATAAATATTATGCATAAACTGCCAGACTGTGATACCTGTTAGGCACTGACTACATGTCAAGCACTGACACAGGTGTTGGGGAATCTGCAAACTAAGTTGTGTCTCTTCTGAACACAGAAGAGTCCTCGTAGTCTGGAGGAGGAATCAGAAAAAAGGCCAAGGCTGGCAGTTAGTAATGTGGTTAGGGATAGTGGTGATGCTACAGACAAAAGTAAAATGCACCACAGAACAGCTTCTTTAGATATGGTGGTGTCTCTATTTGTGTTCTTCTACAAGTAGTCACTGAGACAGGGATCTGAGTACAAGTTATTTATTTGGGAAGAGATCCCAGGAAATATTATTAGGACAATTAAGAAGGGAAAAGAGTCTAAAAAAGTGGACATTAGAAAACAAATAACTCCTGTACATTAATCCTAGAGTGAACTCTGGAAGTTGGGGTAAATATGCTTCTCAGGGTGCTCCCTCAGAGGGACAGTGACCAACAGTCTTAGCTGGAGGACTACTGGGGATGGGAGGCCTCAATCCCCCAATCTGCATGGGACTGGGTATGTCCTGCAGGCAGGGTGGCAGGGGCTGGGAGTCAGGTGGCACAAGGGGAAGTGGTGCATGCAGAGATAAAGGTGGGCTCCTGACAGCACCTGCTCTCTAAAAAGATGACTTACAAGCACAGGGGAACCCAAGGAAGGAAGAATTTGGGAACAGCAAGTACAGGAGACATTTAACTGCAAGCTGAGGCTTTGCTTCCACAGATCTGGTGGCTAAAAGAGAAGATGAGGTTTGAGTCAGAGATCACCCACTGCCCCTGAGGGTCAGGTGCTCCTTTCAGGGTCAGGGCGACCCCTTTCTTGCATCGGAAAAGAACCTGGTGGGCTGCAGAAATGGGGGTGTGATTCGAGTCCCAGTGCTGTCATCTGTGAGCATGTTCACAGTCCTCTGAGCTGCTTTATCTGTGAAATGGGAATGCTGACATATCCTTGACTCTTCTCGTGACGTACTATAAATGGTCATGGGTACTTTAGAGCATTTTGTACTTGACTACTGGTAGTGACACTAGCTTATACTTAACTTGTGCTTGGCATGGTCAGATGTGTATATGTATGTAGGAGCGCATTTCATCCTGATGGCAACCCCGTGTGGTGGGTACAATTATTGTCCCTATTTTGTTAGTTTGATAGTTTTTGGAGACAGGGTCTTACTGTGTAGTCTGGGCTGGCCTCAAACTTGTGGTCCTCCTGCCTCCATCTCCCGAGTACTGGAATTATAGGCCTGCACCACCACACCCAGCTGATTTTGTGTCCAAGTAAGGAAACTGCAGCCTAAGGAGACTGAGTAACTGTGAACCCCAACTCTCCCAGAGCCCATGAGTTTCTCTTACAGTATAAGTAAGTGCTTAGAAAATCATAGTTGCTGTGATGGTCATTTTAAACATGACTTTTTTTGTTAATAATCTCAATAGTTTTAACTTCTGAAGTTTGTCTAATACTTTTTACATCTACAAGTTTCTGATGGTGCTTCTGAAGACTGCCAAATTAGTTTCTCCAGAGAAGCAACTGCTCCCCATTCAGAGCAGAACTTGGGTCCCTACCTGGGAGATTGTCACGCTGTGGCTTCTAGGCTGTGGCCTGCTGCACTGGGGAGCCAGGCTAGGGCCCTGCGTTGGCCTGTGTATTTTGCCACAGCTCTGATGTTCAAAAAACTAGGCAGCTGGGTCTCCTGAGTGGCAGAGGGACACAGGGCTGCCCTGCCCAGCCCAGCCCTAACTCCTCAGTAGTTAGGAGGTACATGGTCATAGGCAGAAGTTAGACTGGGCATATGGTCTGTCCCCAGTTAACTCCAGTAGCAAGTCATCTGTAAAACTGCAAAGTTGAAATAGCTCAGTCATTCCCCCATCCCAGGGCCAAAAATAACTGGAACAGGCTGGAGACTCAGCCTTGTGTTTGCCTGGGGCCTCTGTTTGGTCCTCTTGAAGCCTGGGGTTCTTGCTGGGAGGGAGATGTAGCCTCAACCCACAGGCTGGAGTGCACACTGACTGCATCCTGTTTGAGGTGGCTGAGTGGTGAGCAGGACAGGGTGGAGGAAACCTCACGTGTCTGTCTGTACCGAGGGGCCCTGTGCTGTTTCTGACGGGAGTTTGTGAGCACACCTCAGTGAAGAGAGTCATGTGCACAAGAGCACAGGGAGGAAGCCTCCCTCGAGAAAAGCAACATCTTGGTGGGTCCTGGGCACACTGGTGGCAGGGATGTGGGACACGTGAGAAGCAAGACGAGATTGGACAGCACTGTCCAGCAGGGGTGTTGCTTCCTTGTACCACTTCCTGGGGGAAGCTGACATGGAGAGTAAGTCCATGGAGGGGAAGACACTTGAGGAGGCAGCTGCTTTGGCACAGCCATGGGAGGAGGAAGAGATTCATGCTCAGAAAAGCACCTGTCATGCACCTGACCCTCACTGAGTGCATCTCATTTCATTTATTATCTTACTGAAGGTTCACAACAGCCCAGAGATGTGTGGATTGTTGCTTCTCCTATGTTATAAATGAGAAAACTGGGGCTTACGGGAGATAATTATTCAGAGAAGTCAGAATTAGGACTAGGATTGTCCTCACTGTTGACCACCTGACCGTACCACCTCAAAGAAGGGTTCCTGGAAGAGCCAGTTGTATGAGGTTTTGATTGAGCAAAGGGAAAGAGTATTTGGGATGCAGTATTTGAGAAAAAGCTCCAAAGTTGAAGCTAAATATCCCATTACTAGCAGAAAGTTCTACAGATGATGGGGAGACAGACAGAGAGAGGGAGTGTGTTACGGGAGAGGAGACGGGGTCTCCAGCAGTCACTTGCCTATAGTAGACTGGGTTCCTCTCTGACTTGCTGAGTGACCTTCCTTTCTCAAGTTGTGTCTCTCTCTGGGGTCATTTACATCAACTGTCAAGTGAGGGCTTGGGGTAGAGGGTCTCTAGGGGTGATAAATAATTTTCAGTCTACAAGGAGGCAGTAGATCAGGGGAAGGGTCAGGCCAGGGAAGGAAGAATTCTGAAAAATGCCAAGTATTTCAGAGGTCAGGGAGGACAGGGGAATGTTTTGACAGCAGAGAGATCACCAGTGACCTTGGCAAGCTTTGGTCCTTTGGAATGGAGGGAGAGGAAGTGGCTTTGGAAAGAGGCCAGGAAATGGCTGAGCCAGAGGAAATGGGAGAGTGGGGACATGAAAATGGGGGAAGAAAGAATATTGCCATAAGGTGGCCATGGGTAATGAGATGAACAAGGCCACCTGTGATTGATTGGTCTGGCCTGCCTAAGGCCTTATGTTGAGAAATAGAGGGAAATGGAGCTGCAGTCAATTAGCAGTGTCTGCCAAGGACACAGGCAATGGCCATGGCAGCATTTTGTTTTGCCATCCTTGCCTAAATGGATACAGGTTGGAAGTATCCTGGCTTACAGAGAGAGCTTCCCGTATTTGGAAAATCCAGTTCCAGCTCCCAGAAACTCTCCTTGAACTTTGGCTAGAATTAAGGTATTTTGCCTCAGGGTGAAGTAGTCTGCCACTAGTTGGGAGTTTCAACTTCAGAATCCGAGTCCTTTGAGCCTCAATTTCATGTATAAAAGGGAAATAGAAGAAGGCCTGTTTGCAGAGTGGCTGTGTTGGAAATGATGGTCGGTAGGTAAGGCTTTATTGTTAGGTCTTTGTTACCTGGTAGCTCTGATTTGCCCCTATCATGGTGCAAATCTTGGTTTCTTTGAGAAAAGGGCCTGTATCTGATTTTCTCTGGAGCCTCTCATCTGGTACTGGACCAGGGACTTTCTGCATTTTGGAGGATCAAATGGAATAGGATTATGGTGGCTGGGAGAGAGGATAACGTCACTTTGGGCTTTAGGGTCATCTCAGTGGGGGTATGTAGGAAGCTCTATGTACGAAGGCTAAAGGGCTGTGTCTAAAGGGCCCTGAGCTGGGATGGGGTTGTCTAGGTTATTCCTTTATTCAGCAAATACTGAGCACCAGCTGCATACCAGGTTCTAGATGACCAGTCAGCCAGTCCCTCCTTACTTGATCTCACGGGGAGGATAATACCCCTAGTTTCCTGTATGAACCCCACTCTGCCATCATATGTATCTGTATGCGTGCATGTATGCGTGTATGTCTGTGTATATGTGGTATGTGTGAGTCTGTGTCTCAGAAACTCAGTGGATCATGTGGCTCAATGCAAATCCAGGAACTGGGAGTATAGGTTTCTCCTTGTTGTGGAGAAAGGAGATAGAGGCCCTGGAGCCTAGGGCTCTGTGATAGGAGGTAAGAGGGGGAGCAAAGACTCAGATTGGGTAGGAGACCTGGTGGTGTCCCCTGGACCCTGGATTCTAACTCCTGAGAGTCAGGAACCCCAGAGCCAGACTGAGCCTCATTAGGGAACCCACAGCCCTGCCAGGATCTTAGCTGCCCTGGAGCCTGTTATGCCCACTTCTGTACTGGCTTCTTGTAGCTTTTCCATCCGCCCTGGCACAGGACTTGCCCCAGCCTCCTTTCAGAGTATGGTCTAGGGCAGCAGGCTTTGCTCACCTCCCTAGTGGCCCCTGCCTGGATCCTGCTTTGTCCTTAACAGGGTTGCAGGTGAGCTGCTCAGCAGTGTTCTCATCTGTGGAATGGGTGCAGTCACAATAAGGGCCTCCTATAGGTGCAGCAGCTGTAAGGGGTGATAAGGACATATGAGGAGCCGTGCATTTGTGCTGAAGCCCGGGACTGCAGGGGTCTGGAGCCTATCCCTGCTGCCCTGCAATTTTGTTTACTTCTGAGCACTTTACTTCTCAGCTCCAAGGAGGGGTCCTAGGGATGGATGGTCAAGCCCCCAGCGAGGGCCACAGTCTCCCTTTATGTCCCCCTGCCCCCACGGTGCCCTCTTCTGCTTGGGGGACCAGGTGGGAGCCTCTTCCCAGCTCTCCTTTCTGGTGTTTCCCCACCCAGTGAGCTGCTCTTCCCTCGTCTCCCAACATTCCTTGCAGTGGTCGTGGTAAGGATTGCTCAGGGGACTGTCCTATCTCTCCTGCTCTGTGCCATTGGTGCAGCCCAGAGGGACAGCATTTTTGGTCTCAAAATAGTCACAGGACTTCCCTGAGACTGGAGGGAGGGCACAGGGAGCAGAGCTGAAACTCTGACCCACGGCCACTGAGTTGATATGGCATCCTTGGAGGAATCCTGTCCTCCTTCCCCATTGACTCTTACTTACCTCAGCCCCTCTCCTTGGGCTGTTGTCACTTCACTGGTCCTTTCCCCCAGCCAGTTTACCTCTGGATGTGCACGTAGAGTCAACAGTGAGGGCTGGGGCCATGGCAACAGGTCAGGTGACTATAACTCTACTTGCTGCACGTGGTTTTTGGTTTCTCTGAGCCTCAGTTTCCTGATCTGTCCAGTGGGACAGGAAGCACTTCACAGGGTTACAATAAAGTTTCAGTAATAAAGTAGGGTTGATTTGCCTGGGCAGTTGTTAGCTTTGAAGTTGAGTTTGGGCTTGGAACTTGAAACATGGCCAGGCCTTGGCTGTGGTATTTGGCTGGCTCCTGGGCTTGGCTATGTGACCTGGCCTCCCTGGACCTGTATATGTTTACAGTGGGTGTGATACAAAGTCTACTCGTGGGTTCTCCTGAGAATTAACAAGGACATTTGTGTAAAGCTTCTTACTCAGCACTTGGTAAAACCATAGTAAAAACAATGACAGGGCACCCCAGGGCCCCTTGCCAGGTTTTCCAAGCAGGGAGGCTGGAGAGAAATGGTAGGCCTTCCAGGCAGGGTCTGAGGGCCACTGTGTTTCACCCTAGAACTGCCAGAGAACTGGACGGATACCCGAGAGACACTGCTCGAGGGCATGCTCTTTACCCTCAAGTACCTGGGCATGACACTAGTGGAGCGGCCCAAGGGCGAGGAGCTGTCCGCAGCTGCTGTCAAGAGGATCGTGGCCACGGTGAGCACCCTGTCAGGAGAGGGTGGGAGCCACAGATGGGTCCACCTTCTTTCTGGACTGCCTTCATCTCCAGCTTGTCACCCCTGTGAGATGTGACTGAGCCTGGCCCTTGAGTCTTCCTGTGTCTGGCTCAGAGCTTCAGTAGAAGGGAACAGGGTCAGGGTTGGTGTCCTCCTCTCCAGACATCATGGCCAGCCCTGTCTGCAGCCTAGGCTCCCTTCTAAAGTGTCAGTGACATAATGACGTCAGGAAGGGAGAGCAGATTGTCAGCACTCAGCCACATTTCCAGAGGCATGAGGGACAGTGTAGCTCCCCAGGAACCAAATCGCACTGGCCTCAGCTCTGTGTGAGTATGGGCCCTTTAAACCCACTTCCCTTGGTGGCCTTGACCCCAGGTTCAGGGCCCTAATGTTTGATGGGTGGAGCAGTCCACAGAGGTGGAGTCATCCTGCTGGATTGGAACAGAAGTCCCAGCTGTGTGTTCTTGTGCAAATCCTTTAGCCTCTCAGTCCTCCTCTTCTGTTTTGTTTGTTTGTTTGTTTGTTTTGTCTTTTTCGTTTTTTATCGGTACCAGGGATCAAACTCACGACTGCCTGCTTGCAAGGCAGGCGCTTATGCCGTTGAGCTAAATCTCCAGCCCCGAGTCCTCCTCCTCTTGTGAGAAGGAAAGTGAGAGTCCACCTGCCTGTGAGGGTCAGTGCTTCCAGGAAGCTGGTATTAGCAGACAGCAGCAGTTACCTGTTTCATTTCAGGAGGTGCTGGTTAAGTGTCCTTCCCACAGCACCTGCCAGTCCTCTGAGCCGAGCTCACACAGGCCCCGGGAGTGTAGAGTAGTGAGGTGGAGCCCAGGGGTGGATTTCAAGAAAGGCAGGCTCCTCTTACTCCTTTCTGCCCCCAGGCCAAGGCCAGTGGGAAGAAGCTGCAGAAGGTAACTCTCAAAGTGTCACCTCGGGGAATTATCCTGACCGACCACGTCACCAACCAGCTCATTGAGAATGTGTCCATTTACAGGTACGCGTGGCATCTTGTGGTCCACATCACTCGGGCACTTGGCAGTGCATGGAATGAGCTGTCTGAATCCAGGCTCTCCTCTACCACTTGACCATGGAGTGACCATGGAGCCTCCGTTTCCTCATCTGCTAGGGGGCTAGGGATCAGGTCCTGCCTGACTGTGCTAGTATACAGCACACAGTTCACAGGGAGCGCTTGGTGAGATGGCACTTGCCACCATCTCTAACAGGCAGCTGAAGCCTAACCCAGGCCCATGCTCCCACTGTGTCCTCTGCGTGCTGCTGAGTCACTGTCGGTGCAGACAACTGCAAAGTCACTGCCTCTTTGTTCCACTGCGAATGCAGCAGCCTAGCTCTAGACATCTGGTCAGGCATCCCAGGAGACGTCACACAGGTTCTGAAGCTAGAGGGCAGATAGTCTTGTCCTCTCCTGTCTGGTCCCCTGTTCCTAGAGAGACAGGTCTAGCCCTTGGAGCCCCAGGGTACCCCCATTTCTCTCTTTGCTGGTCGGTTGTGTTTTAGAACTGGAAGGGACATCCCAGAGCCCTTTTACAGATGGAGAGGCTTAAACCCAAAGAGGGAATGTCTTAACAGTACACAGCGAGGTGGTAGCTGAACAGACCTGGGCACCCAGGTGGGAGGTCTACCCAGCAGGTCCCTTTCTTTAGGCATCTTGCCATTTGCTTTGTCTCCAGGGAGGTGGCTCAGCTTGAGCAGAAGCAGAAGTACAAGCTAGTAGTGAGGACTGGGGGACAAAGGTGCCCCCATGTGTGGTGTTGGGAAGTGGTTTCAGAGTTTCAGGCCATGCCTTTCCAAGTACCTGCTCTGCTGATAAGAACTCTGACTCAACCCCTGCCCTCCTGGAGCTTCCTATCTGGGAGGGGACAAATTGGAGGAAGTAGGATACAGAGTATGTCCCAAGAGGGCAAAGGAGGAGGAGCCCACCTGGGGAAACTTGGGCAGACCTCCCAGGAGAGGTGGCATCTTGCTGGGGCTTGAAGAATAGCAGAATCTTGCTGATTAGTGCCAAGGACCTGGGGTGTTCAGGCAGCAGGCTGAATCCTCTGGGCAAAGGGGAGGCAGTTGGGAAAATGGGCTCCGCTCTCACCTGGGATATTCTGTGGTGGTATTTAAATGATAGGGTTATAGTTGGCCCACCTGGTGAGGAGTGAGTCCACTGAGGAGTTCCACCCTGGTCCACCCGCTCCTCCCCCGATAGTTGGAGATGGCATGGAGAGATTGCTGAGAGGCTGAGGGCTGGGGGCTGGGGGCGCTGAGGCTGTGAGGCCTCTTACAGAGAGGATGGTTGCATCTGCCGTCAGCCCACTAGAGCCACTGGTCAGCCATAGTTCCAGGGAGACTTGCTCAGTGGCTCTGTCACCCTGGCAGAGACAGTCGAGGGTCCCTTCTGATATCTGAGCAGGTCCAGGCGAGACGAAGAGCAGCAGGAGGCAGCGTGCTGTTCTGCTTCCTCTCTAGCCAGGCCCTTGAGGGGCAGCAGGCGGATAACTCTGGCTTCTGGGTTCTCACAGCTTATTTCATATCCCATCTCTGCCACCGACTCTGCAATCCCGGATCTTTAGCCTGTTTCCTTATTTGAAAAGTGGGGATAGCTGTAGACCCCATCTCAGAGACCAGCTATGGGAATTAAATGAGGCAATATTTAGGTATTTCTTGATACACTTTAGTGGTGTACATTTAGGGTTCAGCTATTACTATTTTGGAGAGTGGTTCAGTGTAGCATAGGAGGAAGACAGGGAGAGGTGCCTTCCTTCAGTTTTTTCCCCCAGACCCTTCTGCTTGGCTTGGGTTCCTCTCCCATAGATGGCCCAGAGAGTGAGGCCTGGAGGCCAAGGCCAGATCTTAAGTCTCACCCTCATGGGAAGGAGACAGCAGGCTCTGTGGAACTCAGAAGATGACCTGTGGCACCTCCCAGTGTGATGAGGCCCTGTGGCACCTCCCAGTGTGATGAGGCCCTGTGCCACATGTGTTGACACTTCTCCCTTGCCTTCCAGGATCTCCTACTGCACAGCAGACAAGATGCATGACAAGGTGTTCGCATACATTGCCCAGAGCCAGCACAGCGAGAATCTCGAGTGCCACGCTTTCTTCTGTACCAAGCGGAAAATGGTCAGCAGGGAGGGTGGGATTGCTCTTGGGGGCTTCTGTGGTATGGGAGGCAAGACCAGAAGTGACAGTCACTTAAAAAGGATAAAATTCCATGAAACTTTTCAAGTGTGTGCTGAAGAGGACACAGAGTAGGGCTACAGTCAGTCAGTCACCCAGCTGGACAACTGGTTGAAGGTAGTGATTAGGCCATATTCCCCAAAAGGGCTTGGGTCCCTTCCCCTCTGTGAACTGCTTTGATGGACATGAGATGATTTTTGATCTCCTGTCATTAGCCCAGTCTGGGGAGAATAAGCTGTGTAGGTTCATCCTTCTAAGTGGGAGACCAAGTAATCCTGAGAGTCAAAGGCCAGAGCCCTCAAGGGACTAGACTTGCTGTGTCTATTAGCTTTCCTGTTTCTAGGACAAAAATATCTGACATTTGTACCTTTAAAGAGGAGAGGTTTATTTTGGCTAACAGTTGGAGAGGGGTTAGTCCATGGCTGGCTGCCTCCAAGGCAGGAACATCATGGCAGAAGGGCATGGTGGAGCAGAGCTGCTTACTTCATAGTGGCTGGAAAGAATGCCAGGGAAATGTGCCTCTGTGAGCCATCTCTTCCAACTGGGCCCCACCTCCTACCAGTTCAGTCAGCTGTGAATAGCAGCAGATGACCCCACTCATGACTATCGTGGCCCGTGATCCAGTCATCTCTTCAGGAGTCTCTTAATCCAGTGAAGCTGACAAGTAATATTACCTGGCAGACCATGTCTGGAGCAGAGAGACAAATGGCCATGTTCCATACTAGCGCTAGGCTCTGAGGCATTTTCATGTTTAATCCTCAGAACAACTGTGCAAGGTAGAAACCGTTATGATCTTTGTTGTCTTTCTTTGAAATTTTTATAATGAAACAGACCTCTAGAAATTCAGCTGTGTTGCTGAAGATAACACAGTCAGTGGGGACAGTGAGTCTTTGAACCCACAATCCTCCCTCCTGCATAACAAGTTGCCAAGAGCGTCCTGTCACATTTTTGGACCACTTGTTGACCACATCTAGCTGATCTGAGTGAATGAAAGACCTTGAGGGTCTCTCGGTGTCTCACTTGGATTTGGGGGCAAGGAGCTGGAGTGGGTCAGCCTTTGGCCATTGGTGCTTTTGTTTCTGAGGCCCCTGACATGGGAGCATCTTCCATGTAAGGAGGTTCTTGGCATCTGTTGATTTAGAATCACCATCTGTTAACATCTGTTAACAGCTCAGAGTCAGGTCCCTATCCCCAGGGTTCTTAGAGACAAGGAGACAAGATCCTCACCCCTTCCCCATCAGAGGACACATCAAGAACATGGCCATCATTGTGAAACCCAGGCTTCCTACTTTAGATATCAGATAAGTTTCCATGGCTGCCATAACGGATGGTCACAAACTTAGTGGCTTAAAATAGCACAAAAGTATTTTCTTAAAGTTCTAGGGGTGTGAACAGTCTAAAATAAAATAGGTCAGTGGGGTTGTGTTTCTCCTGGAGGTCAAAGGAGCACCATTTCTTTACCTTTTCTGCTGTCTAGAGATACTTGCATTCCACCTGCTCCTGGTTCTTCCTGTCTTCCATCTTCAGAGCCAGCAAAGAGGCACATTCAGTTTTGCTGATGCTGTCAAACTGCTGTTCTTCTTTCTGACTCTTGATCCCCCTCAAGGCCTCTGTGATGACACTGGGTAATCCAAGATAATCTCCCATCTCAAGATTATTCTTAACTTAATTCCCTCTGCAAAAGTCATGTAGGGTATCATTCACAGGTTCCAGGGACTCAGTGGGTCATCTGTGGGGGCCATGATTCAGCCTCCCACAGGTACTGCAGAAGGGTCACTGTAGAGGAGCCACACCAGATCACAGCTGATGTGCTGTGTTGCCTTGGATAAGATCCTGCCCTTCTTTGGGCTGCTGGCCTCCCAGCAGAATGATGTCCAGAATTGCTCCAGAGGGCCCCTGTTTGTCTTGAACCCTTCATTTCTTTCCTGCAGATTCAGTGTCACTGGCCATTGACTCAGAGTCCTGTGGTGTGTCCCAGGGCCCTGTGTTGCAGTGTCTTTTCCCAGGACAGCTATGTTCCCACAGTGGGTAACACTTGGAATTGTCTCCTATGAGGACAAGGACTTAAAAATATAAGCTCATTGTGTCCCCTTTGTTCTCTCTTCCTCTCTGCCGATGGAGCAAGTGATGGGCAGGGCAGGCCGTTGGCCTCTGCTGTTGCTGCAGTGTGGGCCTGGGTGGAAGGTGTTCCCAGATGCAGTGATTTCCTCTCCATAGGAGTTCTGGGGGTGAGAGAAAGAGGAGGCGAGGCTAGAGGACTTTGGGCAGGCTTATGTGAAATCAGCCTGCCCCCAGGACAGAGGGCAATTGTCAAAGAAAGCAAAGCCCAGGATACTTGGCCACTGGCAGCTGACCCCTGATGGGCAGAGGGCAGGGCTCCCTCTGGAAACCTAGAAGAGCCTTCAGGTCTCAGTACATCCTGTCTGGTGTCAGGACTGATTGGCTGCACTGTGCCTTCTCCTCCTCCTTTCGTTGTTCCACTCAACCTTCCTTCTGCAGGGAGCCCTGGGAGATTCCTCTCTGAGAGACAGCTCAGCCCAGGCTGGCAGCATGAAGGCTTCATGGCCTGGCCCTGTGAGGGACATGGGCATATTCTGGACACTGCAGGCTTTCTAAGCGGGAGACAGAGGTGCAGTGAGCACCTCAGGCTCTGCACCAATCAGCTGGCAGCTGCCTCTGCAGACACGTGGTGTCACTTGACCCAGGCTAAGCTCTACACTGGGCATTGAGAACCCAGAGGAAGTCTATGGGAATCCTGACACTAGGTTAGATCATTGTGTCTCACTGGAAGTCAGGAGGCCCCCAGAAACAGATGTCTGGTCCTGTTGTACACAGTCAGAAGTTTCCCTACAAGAAAACGTTTCCATCTGCTTAGGAGGGAGGCCTCTAAGGGACTTCAGCCTGTGGGCTCAGAAGTAGAGTTGGAGGAGCTCAGGGTTGCTCTACAGGTACAGAGCCTGGATACCCAGTTCCGGTGCCCGAGAGGTAGCTCTCTGCCCCCCAAGTGGCTGACCACATTCCTGGATTAATCCTCATGCAGGCATTCATGCTTCTGGGCTTCAGGGCTGCTAGGGGCACAGGGCTGATTTGGTCTGAGTAGGTGGCATCCTTTGAAGGAATAACAGTCTGGTTTCTGGGAACCCCAAAGGCATAACATGGAACAGTGGACTGAGTAGACACTAATCAGGGTGACAAATAGACCGTGGCCAGAGGCATGCAGGGCAGGGCTGGATGTTGTCCTGGGCAGTATGAAGTCTTCCTGAAGCAGTCCCAACAGTTCTTTTTTTGTTTTGCTTTTCTTTGTGTTTTGGGTAGTGGTAGTCAAACCTAGGACCTTGCACTTGCCGGGTAGGCTACATCCCTGCAGGCCCAACAGTTCTTCCTTCTGATGTTGCTTTGGACTCTTGCAGCCGCCCAGAAGTAGGCCCTTCCCATTCCCAAACTCAAGTCCCTGTCCAGCCTGGGCCTTCAGCCACCTGCACACAGCCATATCTCCAGTTATGTTTGCCTTAACCTACAGCTTGGGACATGAGGGAGAGGGGGTGGGGAATACATGTAAATCAACTGGCAGATTTATGCAAAAATAGTATAAACTTGAGTCCTCAGGTTTCCTACAGGCAAGAATAATGGTGTCTCTGTGTCCCTGCCACATTGGGTGACCAGCCCTTGCTTGGGTGTAGAGTGATATGACTTGGGCCAGTAATTAGCCCATATTTTTAGTTCATGGGCAATTCTCAATGGTAACTGGATCTATTAAACTTGATTCAGTCGTGACAGCTTAAATTGTAAACAGCTGTGAAGAGTTTCATACTTAATTACCATATTTAAGTTTTTCCATAAAGCACCCGTACTTCCATCAAAAATGTAAATGACGGAGACATTCAAATGAGATTTCATACTTTGTGAAGTTTAATTGGCATGGATCACACAGCTTGTTTAGGGATTTTAAATTTTTTTTTTTAAAAAAAGTTTTTGAAGACAGTGGCCACAAATTCATTTCTCAATTAAATTGCGTTGTCTGGTGGTGGGAAGGGGAATGGGGCCACGGCTGGTTAGGCCTGAACTTCTGCACTTGAGCATCTGAAATTCTGCTCTCACCAGGGCTTTCAGAACGAAGTTTGGCGGTGCTGCCGGCATCAGCCAAAGCTCCGAACTCTGGGGCTTCCACTCCCAGAGCTGAGCTGGTTAACTCTGGAGTCACAGAGAGCAGGGTATTGGGATAAATGTGAACTGGGAGGTCTGAGCTGCAGGAAGCTTCCGAAGTCCTGCTTCTTGGATAGGTACAATTCAGCCAGCATCATTACCACCACTGAGGGGCCTCACATATGCTGGAGCAGGGCTGGTAGGGAGCATTCAGACGAGGGCACAGATACGAGAGCTATAGCCACTCATATCCATGATGCTAGAGGGGGAGAAGCGGCATTGGAGATGAGTTGCAGGGTGGATGGGAGTTAGGGTGGGAGTGGGGCAAAGCCCATTGCCTCCACACACAGATGGTTATTGCGCTGACTCATTTTGATCCCTGACACTCACTGACATCTTGCTCCTGCTCGGGAGGTACATCAGCTGCCTCCTCGCTTTCTGGAATCCAGTTGCCAGTCCCTCTAAACCTGCATAGCCCTAGTCTTTCTTCACCTCTCTGGCTGTGACTTATTCAAACTGTGGCTGGGCCCTTTCAGGATTGGCTCTTCGATTCTCCAATTCTAAGGGTTCAGGTAGTGTGTGAAGTCCTTGGGCAATTAGGGAAGGCTTCTCTGAAGAAGTGAGCCTCGAAGTAGTGGGAGGAAATAAATGGAGGTGACTAGCCACTGGGAGGACGAATGAGGATGGGAATTTACCTGGGCTAGAGGCCCAGCCGCCTCTCAAGGATGGACCTTCCTTAAGCCTCAAGGTGCTTTGGTAACATGGGAGGGGCCAGCTCTTCTTACTCCAAGCCTGTGGTTGAGCACCTCTAGGCACTGCAGTGAGGAAGTCTGGTGCTCTGGCTTGGACTCCCCGACCCTCCAGTTTAGACTTGTTCTTCCCTGGCTGAAATGCACCCCTCCCAGCCCCACTTCCTGTTTTTCAGGCGCAGGCTGTCACCCTTACTGTGGCCCAGGCCTTCAAAGTTGCCTTTGAGTTCTGGCAGGCGGCCAAGGAAGGTGAGTCTTTATCAGCATCAAGGCAAGGGTGGGGTGGGGGCTGGGCAGACAGATACAGCCGGAGTCAGACCTGGACTGACTCCCAGCTTTACCCGACACCCAGCTGTGATTTTGAACAGGTCTTCTCACCTGAATCTCACTTCTTCCTTCCGAAGAAAGAACATCGGCTGTCTCTTCCTGCAGGGTGCTTATAAGGCTTAAGCAAGGTGTCCTTCTCCCTCTGGAGACCCAGTGGTGCCTCCGAGATTGAGTCTACTTCCTGCCCAGTGGTTGTGGACAGAATGCTGGATCTGGGGCTCTGATGTATTGTGCCTTGATCCCACAGAGAAAGAAAAGAGAGAAAAAGCCAGCCAAGAGGGAGGGGACGCACTGGGGACCTGCCATGACAACACACCCTCCTCGAAAAACTGTGAGTTTCAGGCAGGTAGGGGCCCTCAGCTGCGGGGTACAGTGCCTGCCCTTCATCCAGGGCTCGCTCTCCCGGGTTGGGGTCAACTTTGGGAGTTTTGTTAAGTCAGTAATACACATTCATTATAGGGAAATTAGAAAAAATGAACTTGTTTTTGTGCATGTTTTTCATCTCTGTCTCTGTGCACGTATATAAAGAATATATATGTATAATATAAGTATATATATATAAAGAATATATATATATATGTGTGTGTGTGTATATATTTATATACATATACCCTGCTGTGTGCCCTCTGAAAAACTTGTTAACTGTTGTGGATATAAAAGGTAGTCTGATCCATCAGAGGGGGACAGGCTCCCTCTCGCCTTGTGGGCAGCTGACCAGCAAACAGCAAGTGTCAGGTGGGGCTCTGGCTAGTCTGGTGACAGGCTTGGGCAAGGCCATGTCTGAAGGGGTGTCAGGAGCAGGACAGTCCAGGGGCCTCTCAGATGGGGTCAGGAGATGAGGGCAGGAAATAAGTAGCTAATCTTCCTCTGATGCTGCTGGACCCCCTCACAGTGGTCGCCACTGGGGACCTACTGGACTTGGAAGAAGCCACCAAGGCCCCGCTGTCCACAGTCAGTGCTAATGCCTCTAACCTGGATGAAGCACTGAGGCCCCAAGCCTTGAGCAGCAGCAGTGTCATCTGGGTAAGTGACCCTGTCCCCTGGGGACCCACAGGATCCAGTGAGCCTCAGACAGATCTGTGGATGAGCCTAAGGCGGCTCTTGGGTCCAAGCCCTCGCACTGTGACTTGCAGGTCTCTGGGAGGACCACATCCAGCCCAGCACCACCCAGGCCCAGGGTAGGGAAAGAACAATGTCGCCTTTGAACCCAGGGCTGTGTCCCCAGCAGTCCTGGCTCCCAGCACAGCTGTCTCCTCACAATGCCCAGCCTCTTGGTGAGAGCATCCACAGTTCTGCCCATCACAGGATCAGCCAAAGGCTCCCTTGTTCTTGGCAGGGCAGCGTTTGTCCTTGACGTCCTTCCCGCTTAGTGGGCTACATGGGGAGCCAGGGACTGAACTGTTGTCAGCCTGACTCTTGACTCCCTGTAACTCAGGGCAAGCCCTGCACCTCGCTGAGTCTCAGCTTCTTCGTCTCCTCACTGAGGACCATGATTTCTGCCCACAAATCTCCCAGACTAACCTGAACTCTTAATTTTCTTTTAGAAATAATTTCAGACTGTGTTTTATAATAGTGCAGAGAGGGTCAGAGATTTGGCTCAGTGGCATAAGTGCCTACCTGGCAAGTGCAAGATCGAGAGTTCGATCCCTAGTTCCAAAAGAAAAAAAATAGTGCAAGGAATTTGTGACAGTGATCAGGACTAGAAAGTGAACATTGATACAAGTCTCTTACACAGTCTGCAGAGATTTCCTTTGCCCCATTGTCCTTCCATGTCCTTAGTCCAGTCCAGGGTCTACTATAGATTACATGGTTATTTGTTATATTTTTAATTTTTAAGAATCTAGAACATTAAGAGACTTTAGTCACTGTCAGGACCTTCTGGCTGTTGGGGTCAACCTGGGTATCCCAACACTTGTCCTCTGTTGTGGGGACCTTACTCTTCCTGATTGCAACAGCACTGGGAGGCCAAGGGACATTGCCCAGTGCTTTCCCACTGAGGCTCCAGTCATCAGTTATCTATGTGAACTTAAGGTTTGAGTTTAGCTTTGGAAGGGGATGAAAGGCAACCTCCTCCAGCCGAAAGGCTTTGGAATTGCCTTTTGGAATTTGAAATCTATGGAAGTCATCAGGTCCCCCATTTTATCGGGAAACAAGCTGAGTCTCAAGAAGAAGCCATGACTTGCTCTGGATCCCATAGGCAGCTGGTGCCAGAGCTGGGACTGAACTCACTGACCCTTTCTCTTGTCCCTGCCCCAGCTTTGGTTCCTTGGGCTGCGAGGCTGTAGCTGCAGTGAAGTGAGAGCCCTGCCTGTTCTTGTTTCTCTGAGTAACCCTACACCCATGTGCCAAGCCCTGTAGGTCACTGAGGGCAGGACAGACCCCTGAGGGGAGCACAGGATCCCACTCAGAGCTCTCACCTCCTGTTTTGTTTCCTCAAGGAGCTGGACGATGGCCTGGATGAAGCATTTTCTAGGTAATGCTGGTTGACCCTGCCTCCTTTCCTCCCAGGATACTGCCATGCCTGAGAATGAGTCCCTCTGATTGTCCCCACCCACCCACCCCCGCCCCCAGATCAAGAATCCCACCTCTAGTCAGACACTTCCTGGGACGGGAAGCTCACTGCTCACTCCTTCCAGAGTGGCCAGATGTGTTGGAAAGTTCTTATTACTAAACCAAAACCTCTTCTCGGTGACTGCTCTGCCACAACCTGAGCTGTGCCAAAGAGTGCAGCTTAGGCTTGTTTCTTCTTCCTATACTGGGGGCGGCGGCCTCCACATGCTGGCTTTTTGGAGGCTTTGTCCCCTCCTCTGAGCACAGCTTGTCTTTATGTAGAGACAGAGATAGAGAAGGACTTCAGGCCCGAGCAGGGATTTTGGTAAAGCCCCAGGGCAGTGGTGATTCCCCATTTTCCCAGAGGCCGTCCCTATAGTCCTGGCTGCCTTCAGCTGGCAGGCACACTGCCAAGAAGTCTACGGTTGAGGAGAGGCCTGGCAGCTGGCTCAGGCTTCTATGCTCTGGTCCTTAGTCACTCAGGCCCCGCTTTCTCCTTTGAGACTTGCAGCAGCTCCCTGCAGCCCTCCCACTTCTGAGGTGTCTGGGGTAACTTAAGGTTAGGGGCCTGTTGGGTGGGACAGTCTGGTTGCTTTGCCGTCTTGCCTCCCTCCTTCCTGCTGCAGCCTGGTGGAGAGCTCCCCAGTCCAGGCGGGTGGAGCAGCATGTGTGGCCCCTTCACGGAAGCAGAGACTCCTCGCCTTCCCTGCTTCCCTGGCTCACAGCACCTCCTCTGGAAGAAAAGCTTTCATTTGCTTTTCTTGGATTATTCGAGTATCATGTGCCCTTTATTAACAATTTCAAAAGTCAGCAAAGCATTAAACAGAAAATAACAGTGTGTTATAATCACACAGCCCAGACTCGGGCTTAATTCATGCTAGTCCTGTGCATAGACAGTATGTAAAACCCATCCGCTCATAGTGTTTGCTTTTGGGCCATGTGTCAGACCCCTCTCCAGGCTGTTAAAAATTCCCACAAATACTTCCTGAGAATGTGGGCCGTCATACACTTAGCTCACCCTAGTGTGGACACCCTCCATGGCCAGTGGTCCCTGCCTTCCCTGTACTGCCCTCTCCCCTTTACCCTGGGCAACTCCTGCCCTGACTGAGCTCAGTGTGAGCACTCTGGCCTTTCTGGGCGTGGGGATGACGGAGAAATGAGGACCCTCCTCCCTGGCCCACAGTTTAGACCCTCTAGGGCAGCGTGCTGTTGAGAGGCTGCACCTCCCCGGCTGCTGAGATATTCTTCTTTGCCCTTTGTCTTGCCCTTTCCTCTCCTTTCTGCCCCTGGTACTGGCTAGGCTGCGCTTGCTTCTCAGGCCCCATCAGGTGTGTACCAAGACACTAAGCTCATACAACTCTGTCTTCCAGGCTGGCACAGTCAAGGACGAACCCCCAGGTCCTAGACACTGGACTGTCAACACAGGACATCCATTATGCCCAGTGCCTCTCTCCTGTTGACTGGAACAAGCCCGAGAGCAGTGGCACTGACCAGGATGACCTCTTCGGCTTCTGAGGCCTGGGGCCAGAAGGAAGCAACCAGCCCTGATACGTGACCAACCAAAGCTACCTGTAGTGGGGGAACCAGCGCCAAGACCTACCAGCTGCCCTTTCTGGCCCACATTAACGTCAGCCTGCAGATCAGAGCTGCAGCCAGTCAGCCAAGGGGAAGGAGAGAGACTTTTTTTAACCTGCTCTTTCTCTGCAAACTGAAAGAAGCCTTGAATATTTATTCAGCAACTCCTGGTCTATGGTTGGAAGCCAGTTTTGCATCAGGCACATAACGGATGCAGTGCTGTGACTGGCTTTGTGATCTTTCTTGAGTAGCTCTGCTCTCTGTGAGTGTCCGGACAGTGACCAAAGCATTTTTTTGTCCCTCCTTTTTAAAAACCTGGATTTCCAGAGGGACATCCCCACTCCTTACAGAAAGCAACCAGAATTCTTCATCTGTGCTCAGGAGGAGACTGCCACTTCCAGAGAGGATAGGGGCCTCAGGCTTGCCTTCTTTAGGGTCCAGCGGGCCTGGGCTCAAGCCCTAGCCCCAGAGCTCTCGGGAGGCAGCTCCTGACCAAAGATAACACACAGCTTGGCACTTTAAAACATACAGTAGATGTGGCCCCAGGGGTTCATCCAGGTGCTGCATTGAATAGAGCTTTCTTCCTGCCTTTCCTTCCTGAGAGGGGCCCACAGTCTCTTTGTTGGTACCCACCTGTGCTGGGGCCCAGAGTGACTGGCTGCCTGTGACTTCCAGAGTCTGACTGTGACTGGGGGGAGCAGCTCTCTATGACTGCCCCCTTCCTGGGATGAGGCTGTGCCTGCTCTTCTGTTTTGTGTGTGTCCACGTGAGTGCCCCTGTGTCCCATCTCCCCATACTTCTGGGTGATGTGTGAAAACTAGCATCTAGATTCCTGTAGGAACATTTTGCAGCCATTTTACAGATGAGACGGAGCTCACACTCATGGAGAGGTGGAGTCAAGTAGAACCTAGATCTGATGCCAAAGTGCTTTCTCTGCTGCCACCTCTCACCACTCATACCTCCTTTTTTCTAGCTTTGTTGTCCTCCCAGGAACCAAAAATCCCCAGCTATTTTCTGACTAAAGTGTGTTTCATAACAAACCATCTGGTGCCTTTCCACACAGAACTGGCACAAGCCTCTGTGCCCTGCTGGCTTTCTCACTGTCAATTTCCATGAAGATGCAAGTGTTTGAAGTCTGCTAAATCCAAGGGTGAAACAGAATCAGACTCCGTAAGCAGCATGCTGTTCTCTTTCCTGACGCGGCGGCCCAGTCAGGACATCCCGGCAGCGAGCTGTCTAGCATCCGTCTTCCCTTCCTTCTCGCTTAGCCCTTGGGCTCTGGCATCCTGAAACCCAGCCAAGCCTGGAGCGTCTTCCCCATCCCGAGGTGCCTCCCAGTGGCCCGGCCTGTCGGGGAGGTTTCTGTATCCCCAGGAAACATCGCATTTCTTAGAAGCTGCATCTTTAACAGTGTCTGTATCAGAACAGGCCTGAGGGAGGGGCTCGAAGGGCCTCCCTCAGAAGGAAGGTGACTTCCTTTCCTTGCCACACCCGTGCCCCTGCATCCCCCTTGGTATCGGCCTCTGCAGTTGTCTGGGCAGCAGGGGTGGGACAGGACACAGCGTCCTCGGCACAAGGCACTGGAAGGCCTACTGTGTTGTGCTGGCCACACTTGGCCTTTGTCGGTCTCTTGTTGACAGCTGTCTGCTTCCCGCGTGTCAGCAGCCAAGTTTTGTGCTTTGCTTTGCGATGCTGTAAAGGGAAGCAATGAGGAAAAATAATAATAATAAATGTTCTCTTTTTGAAATATAGGCAGCACTTAGATGGAGTGACCACAGCACAGGAGCTGGTGGCTCCACCCCTTTGGCAGTGGCAGTGGAAGTGGCCACAAGCCTGGGTGGGCAACACACCAAGAAACAGTCCCCACACTGCACCAGAGCAAGGATAACGGCCTCAGGGTTCTGTCTTCACCTGCAGATGGGCATGTGTGAGGCGAGGTCACCTCTGGACAGCTTCCTGAGGCTGGCCAGTGACCCAGTGTGTCCACACGCGTGAGGTCTCTGAAAGCTGGAGCCATGGTCCATGGGCCCCTGAAATGCATTTAAGATTTGTGTGTGTCCTTATGGGCAGTTTTCCCTGTGGAGTGTGTCATTTCCGTCACATTCTTAAATGACCCACGGCCTTTATTCCCTTGCTAGATGTACTGTGTGCTGCATGCAAACCAGGCTTGGCCTCGGTGCTGGGGCCAAAGGCCAGGCAGGGCCTCCGCAGACCCAGGATGTGCAGCTTTGTGTCACCGGAGACGAGAGTGTTTCAGTGACTTGGGGAGACCCGAGGCCCAGTTCTGGCTCTGCCTTTTAGGGACTCTGACCCCCAGTCAGTTACCTCTTTCCTTGAGTCGTGGTTTTGCCTTCTGTGAACACAGTATGACATTCTTCCTCTTTCCGCCCCACTGGCTCACATTGTTGGTAGACTATATACTCATGTGACACAAAGATTACCTAAGAGCAAAGGCGAATTGGGACCATCTTGTTTAGAAAATCCAAATTGATGACCTTGACTACATTGGCCAAGTACTTCTGCATCCCAAGGAAGTACTGCTGAGCTCCCCGCTTGGATCACGGTGGCCATGCTGAGCCCAGATGCCGTCAGTTCCCCTGGCGCTGAGGGCTCCAGGCTCAGAGAGGAAGGCAAAGGTGCCCTGAGTGCTTGGTGAAGTCAGCCCAGTCACCCTGTGATCCTCATCTGTCACATCCTGGCCTTTAAGAGATGTTTGTGGTGGAGCTGCCCACAGTCTCCTGTCCATCTGCAGTGACCAGCACTATGAGACTGTGCTCTTCTAGTCTCTGGCTGCTGTTCTGGGACTCTTCAGTCCCCTTCCTGTGCTGCAGCTTGCGGGGTCTCCTTAGGCATTGTCTTTTTTTTTTTTTGTCTTTTTCCTTTTTATGGGTACCGGGGATCGAACTCACGACTGCCTGCTTACAAGGCAGGCGCTTATGCTGCTGAGCTAAATTCCCAGCCCAGGCATTGTCTCTTTATCTCTCCCACAGTGATATTTCAGATGTCTAGGACCCAGAGGCAGAGCCCTCTGATGTCCGCCATTGGGCAGACTCCCTGTGAATTCTGAGTGGATCACAGAGACTAAGAAATTTCTTCCTTTCTTCTTTCCCCCATAATTTTAAAAGACACCCAACAAGTTCATCTTTCAGTTTAAATTTGGCCAAAGTCTTTAGTTTCCGGATGTCTCAAATTATGAATCCTGAGCACCCGCCGTCTGCTCTTTCATGCATAACGGATAGAGTGGGAAGAACAAAGTTGCCTTTCAGATTTGATGTGACCTTCAGCTTCTCTCAGTGGATGTTGGGTGTTCGGGAGAAATCATCCCAATTAAATCTCTCCAAGGGCTTTTAGCCAAGCATGGGACAAGCATCAGGGTGGGTTCCACACCCAGGGCGCTGGCTTGGGCCTGGACTTCTCAGCTTTGCTCCACCTGCGCACATGTGTGGATCAGAGCAGCAGGCCTGTGTGCTTATCAGGAAGTGGCCTTTAGTCCCATTCAGTCCTTTATAGTCACCATTAGTGTCGCCTGTGCTCACAGCTTTGTCCCAAGATGGGTAGTTCTGGCCCTAATGGAGAAATGGGGGTGAGTTGGAAGAAGAACAAATTGAACTCGCCACCAGGAGGAAGGGGCCCGGATTCTGACCCGGAACTCATTTCTACTGCCTGGGCCCCTCTTCATAGAGCAAAGGGCTCCCAAGCCAAAGGGCTCACAGCACCGAACCTGGGGACGGCTGCAGTAGCTTCTTCAGCAGAGCCAGGGCCCGGACCAGCCTCACACCAGCACAACAGAGCCTGCCTTCCTCAGCTGGCTGTCCATGGGGCCACTTCTCTGGACGTGCCCAGCTTAGACTCAAGGTCAAGGCTGCATCTCATCAATCAGGCCCCCATCTTGCTGCCAGTGGTGTCATCCAGCTTGCCAGTGTGGCTCCAGCATGAGCCTTGGTGTCCCTCAGAGCAGGAAGGCTTCCTCAGAGTGGAGGGGAACGCCAGCCCCAGCGGATGGAGGAGGGGAGCACGCCTGCGGCACTGGCAGCAACCATACAACCCCTTTAAGCTCCTGCAGCGACAGTGCTAGTGGTAATGTTAGCCCATTGTAGAGACAGCAACAAGTGAGGCCCACAGGTTAGACAGCTGCTGTATACCTGCCGGCCTTAGACAACTAGTAGCAGGCACGCCTGCAGTTCAGATTCCTTGTCTTCCTTGTCCTGTGGCCCTGCCTTTCTCCAGGTCACTTGGAACATTTGAAGAATACACTGACCTTGTTTACTAAGGCCAAGAGTAACCTCAGCCATGTGCCGACACAGCTGCTGGGCATCTCTGCTTCCAGCCAAGACAGATGTGGACTGTGGAGTCCATGTTGCAGACAGTAATTCTGAGTGCACCTGCTGAGGCCTCGATTGGCCCATCTGAATGGCTGGCCCCTTCATAATCCAGGGGAATGTGTCACGATGCCCTGGAAAGGGCCTGGCCATGCAGTTCCCCACACCAGTGGGACACTGGAAGTCACAACTGAGGAGTGGTGTCTGCGGATGCCAGGATGGGGTCTCAGGAGAGAGGAGTCCTCCAGCAGGGCCTCGTGGCAATGGAGAAAGGCCGGAGATTTGCTAGCTTGGTTGCATGAAATGAAGCCAGGGCCTGTATTCAGTCTACCGTGTGACCCCAGGTCCTGGCTATCCCAACATAGTGTCTGGCCCTTAGTGAGTCGGCTCATCAGAAGGTAGAGGCAGCCTGGCTTCCTGAGAGAACCTGTAGAATGGAAGAGGGGCCTGGCTCCTATGTAGGCTAGCAGTGCACCTTGTGAGTCAGCGGGCCCATCATCTAACTGTCTCCTGTGCCCTGGGCCTAGCCATTCAAGGCTTCTTATAATCAGGACCCCTATGTGTCCAACTTGGATATGGCCCATTCCTCTGCCCTGACCATAGAGCTTGGTTTCCAAAATGCTCTCAAAGTAAGATCCTAGAATCTAGTGCTACAAGAGCCCCTGATAGCCCTCCAGCACTCACTTTATTTACACTTGGGGAATACGGCCCCCAGAAGAAATAAGATCTCCCCAAGATCAAGGACAATTGAGAGGCAGAGCTGAGACTTGACCCATACTCCATGCACAGGACCTCAGGCTCAGAAGAGGCAGGGCTTACAGGGAAGTGGAAATGATTATGATAAGAGGCTGGAGAAGGACCTTGGTGAATTCTCAAGCACATTAAGCATCAACTCACATATCTCTCCATTCTCCCTCTCATGCCCCGAGATCTCAAGCTGCTGCACAGAGGCCTGGCAGATTGGCCCACACGCTTGGAAGCATAGCAGACCGGGCTGGGTTTGGACCCTAGGTTTGCCACGTGATCACCTCATACATGGCTCAGTAGTCTGTTTGTTTCATCTGTGTTATAGGATAGCGACAGATACGTGAGGAGTCATGGAGTTAAGGAATTAATGCTCCTGCTGTACTAGAACATGCTACTGTACGGCTGTCACTAGTACTGTTGGCTACTCTGTGGGTGGGGCAGTGTAGGGGGCTACCCCACGATGAGGCCCTCCCCAACTGGCAGAGCTGGGGTAGGGGACAAAATATATTCTTAGTTTCCACTCCAACACCACTCAGGTGCGCATATAGGCCCCAACCCCCCTGCCAAACCATACCCTTAGGGAACATGCTGCAAACCTCTCTGGCTCTTACCGTTGAAAGGCTGTTCACAATCCCTGGAGAGGTCCCTCCAAGGGACCAGGGAACACGATAAGGCTGGAACTACCACCAGCTGACTGTTCCTGTGGGTGGAATCCTAGGTGAGGAGAGGTGGAGAGTGGCTCTCGGGCATCTGGCTCTGAGCTAATGGAGTGTTCCCCCACCACACTGTGACACTCCAGGGGTGGGGAGCTCAGGGGAGACCTGGCCTCCATGCCTCCCACATGCTAGGGGCCACACTGAGAGGCCACATGTTACCTCTCATTTAATCCTGAGAACAGTGATGCGATTGATGCCTGAGATTCGGGTAAAGCGCCCTGGCCCCACCAGGACATACCCCAGGCTGTCGGCACCTGGCTGGGCCTGTCTCAGATGCTAAAGTCAGAGTGTTTCTCGGCAACCTTGATGAGCTGTGCCCACTGAGTCCTCTGTGCCTGAATCATGGCAGGGAACAGAATGACAGCTATTCCCATCCTCCCACTAGAGCTGGTGTTCTAGTGGTGAGGTACGGCAGACCCTCCCCTCACATTAGTACAGGGAGCACGGATGGGGTCAGCACTGTGAGGGAAGAAGGCAGGCAGGGGACAGGGACTGCATGGGACCATGCTGTTTATGTAGGGTGAGGCTGGCCCAAGAAAGGGTAGGACAGTGGAGGAAATAGCACAGATACAGCAGAAGCTTGGGACGTGTGAAGGGGGCAGGGTGATGTGGGGGGAGGGAATTGGGACAGAGCAGCCCTGCTGGGGGCTTTCTACTTGCTCCCCAGGGAGGCTGAGTGGGGGCTCTGCAGGGACACAAAGATGCTGAGGCTGCCCAGCGAGGGTCCCCATGGTGACTCTAGAGGCTGCAGCAGTCCTCCAGGCCCAAGAGGAGAAAGCTTGGCGGTTGACAAGGGGCAGAGGGGCAGATGATGAGGGGACAGCACTCTCCCCGCCCCCATTTCCCAGCTGGGGACATCTGGGTGGGTCAGTGGCTGAAAAGCAGGTGTGCACAGCCGGAGCCTGGCTTTGTGGTGTCCCTAGGGGTAGGGTGTGGTTGTGGTCTGAGTGTGGTTCAGGCATCCT